ATCTAATCAACACACACCGCAGCGGTTTGAAAAAAAAATAAAAAAATAATGTGTTCGTTCGACTCATCACTTCTCACATCCCGTGAGATTTCGATCATGTAATATATTATAGAAAACGTTCAACAACGTGATGCGGGGAGAGGCGTCTCTCGATAGCATCTCAGCGACGACGGGCCGAAATACGTCGATTCGTATCGGTAAAAAAAAAAAAAAAAAAAACGCAGTTTTATCGATAATGATCAGTTGGTCCGGCGCGGCTAAGTAGAATACGGGCACATCACGTAAATCGACAAAGACTTGGACCGCACGGCTGTAAATAAAAACAGCCGACAAACGCTAAGCGCCTACTAGACTATTCGAACTTTTTTGGTTGCCAAAACCACGGAAACTTCAAAAACCCAATATGGCCGCGTCCCCGCGGTACGCACGTACACGCGATTCTCACAATGAATAACTACACGACATTTCGTTTGAAATTCTGCGTTTAGAAATTCATCATGACTATTTTAACGTTATTTTACAAGGCGCGAACACGGATATCGTCTGTGTTTTATACCGCTCGTTATACACCGGTCAAATACCCGGTCGTCACAACGAAAAACCTTATTGGGTTCGAGGAACGCTGAATGTATAGAATACAGATGGGATTGCTGTCGAGTGGGTATTGACACTATCGACAACCGTGATAATAACGGTTCCGACGGCGATTCGCACGACGGTTTGTACGACCGTATAAATAACTCATATTGCTCGTGTTATTGCGACCACGCAAATATAATATGTAACCGACGAGAGGGGAGGGGGGAGCTTCTCGGTCCCCCTCCCCCTCGAATCCGTCACCGGTTCGGCCTGTACGTTTAGATGATTTCTGGTCGTTACGCTGGCGCCGCGTCGAACGCGCGGACGCGTTGACAGCATCGGCATTACCGATCCGTTGTTTTCTCGGCAGCGCCTCGACGTCGTCCGACGTTTGCCGGACGATTGAAACGTTCGAAATCAAACGGCGACGAAAAGTCCGGTACGGCTCGAAACGACCGCGAGAACAACACCGGCCGGGTGGCCGACGGCCCGCACGAGACTTTTTTTGTTCTTACGGGAGATTTTCTAAAACCGATGCGATCACAGTCATATCGTTACGTACCGTTGCGATTTTACGCGCGCACGTTAGTGTTTGCATTGCGCACAGGCGCTGTGCGTATTTTGGGTTCGCGCGTAACCCGGACCCCGCGGTCGCGTCGTACGAACCGGAGTGGGGAAAAAAAAAAAAAAAAAAAACGTTGTCCTAGAGTACGTTACGTACACACTATCGCGTGTGTACGTCCGAACCGGTGGCCGCGGGCTCCGGGCGATCGGTCCGAAAATGCGACGGTTTCCAAAAAAAAGCTTCGGAAATTCGAAAACGGCGCACACGTATCGCCGCCGCGTGCGTGTCGCATTGTGATTCTCAGAAAA